AAAAAAAAAAAAAAAAAAAACATCATGCGATCATACGATCATGATGCGCACGGACCTGATTTTAGAGTTTGAAACGACTTGGCGAAATTTCATCAGACGACCCGCAGTCGCTTGCGACCTTCCCACTTCGCCCGAGTATTTTCCGAGGAAAGTTTATGGCAAACTGTGAAACCAGGAACACTTCTCCTCCAACATCGGACTCTGATAACGTACCAATTTCCCGCAACTAATTTAGAATTAACTCGAGTCCAGTTTTTTGGAGAAATCATCATTGCGCGAGTCGCTCGGGTCAGTGTACTATGAATGCACACTGTGTAATTATCATCTGTAAATCCATATATATTCAAGTTTTAAGCAACATGCCGACATGAACGGGCACTCAAGTCAAAGACACAAGATGTGAGTCCAAAGCTTCAAGACGACGAAAGACGCTGTTGAAAAGACGTAAGATGAGCCAGCCAAGACAAAGATGCACTAAGACAACCTGGAAAGATGTAAGATGCCAAAGACTTTCTTGCAGTTTTACTGATGGATGCCATCAGCACCTGCGAATGACATGGAGTCCATAGTGCAATAGTCTCACTCGCTTCTGGGGTTTGGCAGGTGTCAGCTGTCTGATCGGATTTAATACGTAATGTATTGGGTAATAGAAGGAACAAGGGCTTCGGGACAAGTTCGGGACGTCAGGCGGGACGGGGCGGGCCGGGGGCCGCATCACCGCGGCCATCATCCGCATCAGGGCGCGCGACGACAGGCACGCCACCGGGCGACGTGATCAAGGCATCATAGAGATCAGCTTCGGCACAGTGCCGAGCATGCCGCGTACTGCATCATGATCAGGGCGCCTCCGCGCCTCGTGCCGATGGGCTGATCGCTGTCGTGATCGCTGTCCCGACAGCCGTCGCCAACATCCCCGATCAATAACGTACATAAATTGTTCAATAAATACCCATTAAAAAGAGAGAAAAAAAGTGATCCTGGGGCACCCAACGCGCCCGGACGCGCCGGAAGCGCGCCTTCGCTGTGCATCATCACGCCGCTGCCCGCCCAGTGTGTGCCCCACAGTGCTCATAAATTCCCGAAAAAGTCACCATTAAAAAGAGAGAAAAAAAGCGCACCCGATGCGAGGTTGACGACCGGGAGGCGCAGTGGGGGCGACTTTAAACAGGAATGGTTACGTAAGGCTAATCGTAGAGCATGCAATACTGTGATCCCTTGCACCCCGCTCGCCCCATTGATAGGTCACCAGTGACATCGATACGGACGCCTCGATGCGTCCGACGTGTTTGACGCGTCCCTTCGCACTGACGCTTATTGATAAATTCATACGTTACCAGGCCGACGCGATATCATCTGGCAGGCAGCCTCAAGGCTCTCCCGGTGCCTGCCAGGTGCATCGCTTGGACGTCGGGAACCTTGCATCCATTTTTCACGCCATCCGCGCACATACTCGTCTCGCGCACGCAGTATTCCCATCCCTCGCCCTTCCCCATCACCGGTAACTGCCCCGGCGGCCTTTCCCCACAGGGGCCCTCGACGTACCCGCGCAGCCAGGCAGACCCTGCCACACCCACCTCCTTATATTATATCCTACGTATCTGCCATCCAGAAACGGCACAATATACCGGACCCCTCCTCGAGGGGTTGATTTTGACTAAATGCGCGTCCCCACATCCTCCGGAGTATTCGAAGCTAAGCTCGAGACGATTGGCCGCCCACTTTACGGCATTGACCCTGGCCGCCACCATTCCCGCTGCCATATCGCACCCCTAAAGTAAGGCACCAATCCATCATATTACAGCATATTACAAGTGTCATTTTTTCTTTAGCGATTAGGACGTGGGCGTCTCTTTCCTAGCTCCCATGTCGAACACCAAATTGCATGTCCCTAACGCACTCGACGCACACCTCCAGTAGGCCCCCGCGAATCTGTTGGGTCCCGAAAACCCGTATCTCACCCTCTTTTCTAGGGACGTCGTTCTGACATTCAACATTACGGGTACCGTGCTCACAGCATTGTTACTGCTTGCGATCGCATATGCCGCCTGGCACCCCGTCTCGCGGCATCATCTTAACCGCGTCAGCTTCCGACTACTTGCCTGGGCGTTAATATCAAAGTGAGAAGTTCTGGGTGCTCCTGTTCACATATCTCACCGTTTCTAGCCTCATTTTCGCCGCGACTTCCATCCCGGTCTTCGCGGGCCCCAGTGCCGGGTGCAGTTTTATGGCGTTCTTCGGGTTGGTGCGTACACAGGGCGCTTCTCCACCCCACCGGCCGTTGACACTGTCTATAGAGCATCCTTATGTTCTCAGCATGCATGTTCTTCTGCACCGCACTCAATTTGCAGTTCGTATAGACGTTGTCTTCCCCTGGCTCAATAATCCTGAATGATGTACACCCAGACTGGTGCTGGTACACCACGCCAACGGCAACTTGATGGAAAGGTTCTACTACATCGGCTCCGTCACGGCCGTTGCCATTCTAAACATCGTGCCATATGCCGCTGGCCAGTTCGGGTACTACAACGGTACCTGCTGGTTCAGTGACCCGCGCCCCGATGTGCAGTTCCGGTGGCTCCTCGGGTCGCAGTCCGTCTGGATCCTGCTCATGTCCACAGGCGAGGTCGTGTTCTTTTTCATGATCCTGGGGTACATGTATCGGGCGAGTCGTATTTTTTTGTGACGAGGGTGCTGTTTGGTTGACGGATGTGCAGATGCAGAGCCCAAGGGTGTTGTCGAATGGATCGACGTTGCCTTTCGGTGCGATTCCGGATCCGCCGATCGTGGTGTACCGCAGCATCATTCTTCGAATTGGTTTGCACAAAGTTTTTATAACGTACGGGCATTCAATACGGCGTTAGGTCTCTACCCCCTGCTCTCGTGCTGCCTCAACTTCACCGGGTCCATCCTGGACATCTGGCTATCCAAAAACCCCGTCCCCACCGAACTGGTATGCGCACTTTTTTTTCTCTTCTGAGAGCGGCTTAGCTTAAGCTCCCTGCGCACAGCAATGGCGACTCTCTTTCGTCGGTGCGTTTATCCACCCCTTTCGTACACCCCGACACCATCCCTTCAACCAGACCTCTGCGCATTTGGCCTGCGCCCCATCCTATACACTCTCCTCGCAGCAGCGGATCCGGTACACCATGCCCAATATCCCCTGCTCCTTCAACTGACCACGCACCATCTCACCAGAGTTTCCTCCGCGCCATACGTGCACTCCGAAACCACAGCAAATCTACACACTCCACCGGCCCTACTTCCGGTATCACGTACACGAACTCCCATAGGATGAAGCGGTTTTCGATGAACAGCCGCGCGCTCGTCCACGCGCAACTGGAGCAGGAGAAGAACTCGATAACGTGGGGGGTGGGGGGTAACAAGTCATGTGGGGAGCAGAGCAGTGTGGCCTTGAAGCCGTTCGAGGAGCAGAGTGTGGCGAGTTACGGTGGCTCCGAGGGGACAAGGGGGAAGTCGTCATTTGTGGAACAGGAGCCAGAGCAGAGTGGGTTAAGTCAAGCGGAGTGGGGGCAGGAGGGGGAGGAGGAGCTGGATGTGGAAGTGCAGACGCGCTCAAGGGCGGAGGATATCGCGCGGCAGATATGATTAATGGCTGTAAGTCCACTTCGTAGTCAAAAAAACAGTCAGTTCCTCTTGTACTATATGCCTGTCTGACTCGGCACTGTCGAATACTCCATAGATTCTAACGCTGACTGGGAAGAGATGAATTCCTGCACGAATTAACCGGGAATAGTGGATGAAAGATGGCGGTGGTGCACAAACTCCGTTTTAGGTGCACCCGTGTTCGATCCTAATTGATCCTACGTGATCGTCTTCCCCCACCATGACCGCTGTCTAGGCGTAGGAGAAGGAGTGCGCTGGGTTGATGGAATCGGGCACCAGAAAGACATGTCTTCTAAGCCAAAGCTGGAAAAGCCGCAGCTCCCAGATACGGACTGGCGCCGGCGGGAATGGGTGCCGATAAAACATCTAACTTCGTTCGTGGAGATCCTCATACTGTAGCAGCAGCCATGTCAAAGGGTGGCTATCTCGCTGTCCAAGTCCTTCCTGGCTCTTTTGATTCATTCGATTTTTTGACTTCGTGGCTGAGCAAGTGGTATGAATCTCTTCATCCTCTTGAGTGTCTGTGCGCCACTCACAATGCCGTTTACCAACTCCCAATCATGAACGAATGGCCCCAGAAATACAGTATTCTTGTCCTCGACAACTGTCGCATTCACCACAATGATGCACTACTCGAGATAATTGCGGCAAACAGTTGCTTCCTTCTGTTTCAGTTCCACCGGCTGACTTATGTTTGACTAGAATCACTTCTGCTGTTTTTGCCGCCGTATTCTCCGGACTTAAATGAGTCGTTTAGTGCTCGTAAGTGTGCATCATGATCGGATGCATCTGCTGACCATTGCATTCAAGTGGAAGCGTACATGCGCCGCCATGGTCTGAGCTCCTGTATTCCGTAAATTCGTCGATTTCGTTTGCATCAGCTTCTAACTACTGTGCCATACAATTCAAATGCCTCGTGAAACCTCCACGTGCGATCCTTCTGAGGTATTTCCGCTGTTGCGGACCAACTCAATTACCATCTCGAGGTATTTGTGTGGCCGCAAACCAGAGGCAAGGGTGAGTACCCTGGATTCTGCCCAAACCCATACAATATCCCAGGGGCCACACACTGGTTGAACATTTCAAGTTTTTCGGTGAAAATTTGGTGAAAAATGTTTAGGATTTGCACAAATCTTACCACTAGGGTTAGGTGAGGGAATAAGTTTCCCGGATCCATAATGTCCACCTAACAGCAAGTCTCAATTCAGGCGCATTGTGAGCTATCACGTTGTGATTGCTCCGGAATACGGAAAAGGAAGCATGAAAGGGGCATACCGAGCACTGCGGCCATGGAAAATATAAATTATGAAAACAGACAACAACCCAATTATACGGTGCAACCAATTGGCAACAAGAAAAATAGCAAAGGTCCTAAACAACTGCGACACGAATTGAACACGCATACTCGGATTACGTAACTTTAATCCGCCGACATACCAGCTATGCCACACAGGCGATGTGAGCGACCCAATAATTCCCTGAAACATCATCTATGCCACGCAAGTGACACGAGGATGACCGAGCTCGGTAAGGAAAAAAAAGATGAAGAAGACACACAAACCTACGGCACGAATCGAATGCGCGAACTGGGGATTATGTAATATATCCGCAGAACGACATACCAGCTATGCCATGCAAGTGATGCAAAGTCTCAAAAGGCAGGAATAAAACAAGACACATTCCGAGCACAAATACATTGAATCTACAAGCAGACCAAGCACCCTTCACTCAACACTGGGGCTGCACCGAGCTATTGGAGGAAATAAAGTGCACTAGGACAGTGGAAGGAGACACCAAGCAAGGAGGAAGTATACTGAACGGAGAATTCGGGACACCAAACAGCGAGAAGACCATCCGAGCATACAAATCCAGACACCGAGCAGGGGAATTGTGTACCAGGCACAGGGAACGGGTTGCCGAGCAGGAAGAAGGGGCATCTGGGGACAGGCCGAGCATATATTATGAAGGATGGGTGCCATCAAAATGCTTGATGTAAGTGGTAATCTCTTGCTGGCAATAGGGTGTTTCAGAATTAGATATTTGAGCCTCAACTTGACCCTCAACTTGACCTCAACTTGGCCCCAACTTGAGCCAAGTTGGGGTTTAAGTTGGGGCCTTGTTTGTGAAACACCTAAGTAAATGATTTCGCGAAGTTGAGGCAGAGTTGACATTCGGGTATCAGAAAGATGTGATGCAGGCCCAATAAGCGAAGTTGGGGCACAAGTTGAGGCCCAAGTTGGGGCCAAGTTGGATGTCAAGTCGAGGTCCTATGCATGATTTGACATCCAACTTGGTTTTCGGCTCCAACTTGGTCCCCAACTTGATGCCAAGTTGGGGTCCAAGTTGAGGCTCAAGTTGAGGCTTAAATATCTAATTCTGAAACACCCTAATGAAATCGACTCGAATATCGGACGGACTTGGCGAGGCCATTGGAGTGGGAGAAGAAGCGCTTACACCCTTCAAGATCCTCCAAACCCAGCCCCTTGATATATGTTGCCAGAAATTGAAGCAGGCATAAGCAGTTATGGGCGTGCCCGTGGAATGCTCCCACCAGCATCTTGAGTAGCCATTCTTTGGCTTGCAGACCGAGGTTGCTGTTGCATATTGTTGCCTCTAAGTGGCATCCAACATTGTATCCCAGCCCAGATTTTTTCGGGAAACAATCCAGAAGCTAGTAGATGATAGCCAAGGGATATTTTGCCCTGCAAGTTTGTCAGACAGTTTTATTCGAGCACGGAGAAGGGAACGACAAGAAAAGATGTACAATTTGCCGCTCCGAATCATGTCGCAAAGGAGAGGCACAAATCCGTGTCAACAAAGGGCTAAAAAGATTCCTGTCTCATCGAAGATTCCCCACATTTTTTAGGTAACATTGTTGATCATATTCTTCTAGCGGTCAGCACACGGTGTCTCCTTGCCCTGAATTAACATTAGCCAAAAGTTGCCCACAATCACAGGCCACTTACTGGAATCTCGTCCATGGGCAGTAAGTTCGCCAGCCTTTTCTTTGCCCACTGATCTACCTTCACCCGGCTGATGTAGTACCCCTCCTCTCATCTCGGTTGTCCATCCTCTCCTTCGAGTTTGCTGGTAGTGGCTCGCCAGTCTCATCCACCTCTCCATCTCGATTGGCCTCTTTCCTCCAAACTCACCTCAACGACTTGTTCCCATCCATGGTCACGAGAATGGAGAAAATCATCTCGGGCTCCCCCTCAAGCTCGTACATACAGGCAGGGCACACATGTTTCAGCCACTAAGTCGAGTCCCGGCCTAGCAGAGCCAGAACCTTCTGCCAAAATTTTGGATTTGTCCGGATGAGGTCAGCCCCAGAGTCCGGACAAATCACTGCGTTCAGGCCCCGGGTAGCATCGGCTGGACCTAGCTGAACTTAGCTGAACACGTGTGGCTAGGTCACATCAGTCACAAGCATGGAGGCACCTCCACACAGCTCCCCATACGTCTCCACACGTACACCCACCTACGCCCACCTACACCCACCTCGCCTGGACCTGGCAGCATGCTGTGCGTAGCTACCAGTCCGAGGGCTCTATTTACTCTCTTCCCTACATCCTACTTGTCCGACACTTATCTGCCGCCAATATCATTAACATTTTGATGACATACATGCGCGGCTGCTCAGCCCTGACGAACACCAATTTTAGAAGAGAACTGATTTATTCCTATCATAGGTGTACATGGAGTAAGTAGCGTGAACGTGAGCTTTATAAATTTATCGGGGCCTGGTGAAGGCAGGATTTAGTGGGGAACAGTGGGTGAGGAGCAGTCATCCAGTGGTGGGTGTGGCCGGAGGTGCAAGGTGCGGCGAGGTGCAGCGAGCCGCCTCCGGCTAAGCGACCAAGCCGTGACCTCGCCGAAGCTCCGCGGCCAATGGCTAGGTTGCCACGTGGAGGCGCCTAGCTGAGACCTCGCTTAGAGCTCCACGCAGATCGCCGAAGCTCCACGTGGCCTCGGCCAGGGGGCCACTGAACGCAGTGAATGAGCTGGGGACCCGGAGGTGGTCAGGTCCACTGTCCGGACAAGGGATAGCCAGGACCAATAGGTCAGATCCAACTGTCCGGACATGGTTGGTCGGTTCCACTACTGCCCAATGTTCATTTGGCAGAGTGGATAATCCTGTTGGCTCCCCACTTCCTTGATCTCACGCCTTGCATGTGTTTGAATCTTTGTCACTTCATTTTATTTTTCCTTTTGAGATCCATGCTCATAAAGTCTTTGATGAGCTGATGGTGAAGCGGGAAAGGCAGTTGCAAGCCTGAACACAATATAATGAAAAGGAAAGCAAATATTCATATTTGGAGCTCCCCGTGTAGAGAAGTGATTTAATTGTATTTTTTCGAGGTTTTTTTCGCCATTTTTTATGTCAGATCCGGTGTCCGAACAAAAATCGGTCATGGTCTGGGGCCAGAATCTGGACACGAATTGGCCCGCCCCATCCGGCCAAAATTCCGGACAAAATTTCCAAAATGGCCGAAAATCAAATACGACCGGTCCTACTATGTTCGGAGCAAGCCTGTCTCCGCACCGGCAAGCCGGTGAATCTCGGAGAGAGGCTTGGGCCAAACTGCCAAAAATGGACCATGTGTTCGAGAGTCGTTTTCTCAGTCATTTCAGCACAGATTGCCATGGTTTACACTGATAATTTGTTCATTACATGTCCTTCTATTGATTCAGATGCTCAGATGTAAAATATCTGCTGCTGTTCTTGTCCCTCGCCCAGGCCTTGAGCGGCAAGTTGCATTTCACGTTCACACCAACTAATCAACATGATTGAGGAATTATATGTATATTATGGGCTCGATTGATTCAGAATGTTATTCTCACGGGTCCTCCAGCGACTTCTAAGCTGAGAACCCATTTATTCATTGAGGAAACTTTATTTTGTTCTTTCGTGAGGTGTGACATAATCTGTGAGGGTGTGACTTCATCCTTCTCAACGTCAGCCTGGGAGCAGAAAAATATATGTGGTGAATTACTGAGAGGTATCGGGTAACTATTTTCATCCCCGAATCAGTGTAGGGAGCTGAGAAACCAGCAATAGAATCTCACGTATGGATGACTAAGCAGATCAAATCTCTTATTTCTTGCTTTCGAACTACACACTGTAAAATTGTCAGGTGTTGGGACAGATAAATTCAATTTAGATATCCTACAATGGCTTACTATGAAATGGCTAACTCGGATTTACGACACAAATGGCAAGTGTGGCCAGACAGATACAATTGTGTTTCAACTGATTTGCCAAGAAACACAAATTGTGTCCTGGATTCTGGAGTACTGAGAGATCCTAAGCAAATTCTGAATAGGTGGAAAGACTTTCCCACTTCGAATTCATAATGTGTCAGCTGAGACCGAAGGGCTCAAGGGAATTCCTAAAACAGTACGGAGCATAGAACACATTGCCCTTTTTCAGCATCTTGGCACAAGCCCCTTCTCAAAATTCCCTGCGAAGCACGTGAAGTCATGTGATGAAGGCGGCTTGTTCCGAACCTATGGTCCTACTAGTATACAGTCGTAAACTAGGAAGCGAAACGCAACGTGATAGCGAAACACTAGGTTGTTTGCTACCTTAGAGAGGTCGGAGAGGCACCAATTTTTGGGAGACCATTCTCCTCATGGAGAAACCCCGGTAGGTCGAAAGAATTGAGAGAAACGGTCATATTGCGGCCGCACGGCGCGATTCTGTGTGCACCACCCATTTGGCATATTTTACTGGGCCCGTGGTTGGTCTAGTCTCTTATAAACAGACACTACAACATTTTGTGCTCGTACCTCGCGTGTTGTAGTCTGTCATTTTACCGCGATCATTGATTGGTGGCCACTTTTATTACGAATCATCGGAGCTTGAAAAAACTCCGCGTCCCGTCACATCCCGTCACAGGCGAGAAGGACGCGTATTCTCGCTCTGCTACTTTGACTGGCGACTTGGTTTGGGCCATCTCACGCGTAAAACTTCCTGAAATCGATACTGGCTGTTCAGATGGACGGAAACAATCCTCGACCACCGGTAAAACCGGTTCGCAAGTGGACAAAACAGCCGGCTCCACTACCTATTCCTTCCCTCCCCACCCTCGCCTCTGCTGGGCCCTCTAGCACTCCAGTTACCCCAGCCCTACCTCCTGTTTCAACTCAGGTCCCATTGCGGGCTCCAAAAAGGACTCAGTATCAGAAGATAGACGACTTCATACGCACCAATGGCTTCCCTACTTTGGGCGACTTTCTCATGGCCCTGTTCCAGCATCGTATTCGTGGGGAGAAGGACTATCGTACTAGGCGTCACCGACAGGCCGTGAGCGCTTTTCTTCGAGGTTGTTCGACCATAAAGATGGCCAACTTCATTCCGTTGCTCTATAATCATCCACAAAGTCGTCCGAAAAGAAATGATCTGCAGGCGCGCTCTGCCGCTTTCTCCCCGTATAAACCCCTCCACGAGATCC